CCAACCATCCAACCATCCAACCATCCAACCAACCATCCAACCATCCAACCATCCAACCAACCATCCAACCATCCAACCATCCAACCATCCAACCATCCAATCATCCAACCAACCATCCAACCATCCAACCAACCATGCAACTATGAAATAAAGTCTCTCCAAAGGTCACGATGGCCTTTCTTCCCTTTCTTCACCTTCTTTGCTGCCAAACCCCACAGGAACCCACTCCTCTGCTCACAGAGCCCACGACGCGAAGCTTTCCCCGCGCGGCTCGGCTTGTGCACGGCCGAGTCGCGTGGCGGGTCGCGAACGCTGGACGCAGGGCACCCCCTGGGCACCCCTGGGCACCCCTAGGCCCTACCCTCTAAGGTCGCAACCCTTCAAAGGGGTGCTTGAGATCCACAAGTCGTTGATGCTTGCGCTGGTTTTTGGAGCGAAGTCATCGACGTCACTTGAATAGTTTGCCTCGTCATCCATTCGTAGTCCATGGGTGTGCAGAGGCAATGACGGATGAACTGGAGATCCAGCCAGCAATGACCTTGAACGGCTGGTTTATTGGCTTCAGTACTTTAGCAGGTGGAAGTGAAGGAAGTTCACCATGATTCGGATGTTGGGGGGGGGGTGACGTTGGTTTTTTCGCGTTTGGAACCCACCGTCCCATTCACCTTGCTTCAGCACCCACCGTCCCACCGTCTGCCCGACCGGCGACCGGTGGAGCGAGGTCTCGGCCGTGGACCTGTCGCCGATCCCGGAGGACCGCGAACGATTGGGGCCACGAGGCGGGTGGGGTGGGTATTTTAAAAGAAAGTAACATACATATTGTTCTATTTAATTTTATATATGATATGTTTGGGTTTAGTGGTTGGGTTTAGTGGGTGGATGTGTAGATGTGTATGGTAGTTGCAGTTAGTACTTGCAGGCAGTTAGGTTGAATTTGCTTGTTTTTTTGTTTGTTTGTTTGTTCGTTTGTTGGGTCAGTGATTGTTTCCTTTCGTTGGGTCCTGAAACAGGCGCCAAGAGTGACGGAGCTGCCGGGGAGCCAAGCATGACGTGATGGAGCTGCCCATGAGCGGCCAGGGAAAAGCGTCCATGTTCGCTTTTCAGAACACGTGCTGGGCGCGGCAAGGGTTCAGTACATTGGAAGGTCCAGGTACATGGCATGTGTGACATAACCCCACGGACAGCTCATTTAAATAGACATGTCTTGACTGTCTTGACATCTTCATGCCATTTTTGCACATATATCCCCCAAACATCTACCCCAAACATCTACCAATCATATGATAGCCGTTTACCTATACGTTTGTGTGGTGCGGAATCACCTGTGACACGGACTTCAGGACGAAGCGAGACAGGAGGCGAGGAGTCACGGGGAAGGGCGATGAGCAGCGCACAGGATCGGTACGGTATCTACCACCCGCGGTATGTTGCACCCTGAACCCATGTCTCACCTCAAGACCTGAAGAGCCAAGACTAGGATCAAGTGAAAAGGCAGGTGTATCAGGGTCCAACATGGTGCCTCTTCAGATCCCTCGACCAAGGAGGCCTGGTGCCCATTGGATCAATTCGAACTCTGAGTGAAGGAGGGTTTGCACCGCCAGGCCCAAGCTCCTGAAGCAGCGCAAGGACACGAAAGGCTTTCAGGTTTTTCTGGTGTTTTTTTATGCCAATGAGGGATTGCGCAGAAAGGCACTCGTGGTCATGAAATTTTGAATGGTTGTGGGCTTTCCGGATGTTGCAAACTGGGGATCCTTACCTATTCACAAGGAATTCTGCACATGCCACGTGCCCCAGCAAAACTCTTCTAGACCAAATTCAACTCCCATTAGTGAATTCCTCATATTCACACTGGTCTCAAACTGTATGCACACAAATAACATTTTTTTGGGATTCTCCCCATTTCCGATGCTCAAGCTCTCGGGTGCTCTTGGTCGTTGAGAGGACTTCCGAAGCTCGTGGTGGTGAATGGCGTTCGGACATCCCAAGAGGGATGCGAAAGAAGCTGAAAGGAGACGGAAGCTGTGCGTGTGTCTGCTTTGGCGTTCTTTCGTTGCTTTTGGTTCTTGCAGACCGGCCGGAGACCGCAGGTTTTGGTCATGTTCCCGGTGATGGGCGATCGGGGGTAAGGAAAGTGTCTGGTGAGACTGTAGTTCAAAGACTCAGAGGTCCCGTTTCGGGCAGAAAACACTATGGGTTGTGGCTCTGTGCACAGCTCATCGTTTCTGAAGACCACGGCCCTTCTTGGAGCAATGAATCCGTTCTTGAGTGAGCCAAAGTGTGTTCAATCATATATATAGTAGTAGGATTTTTCTGTGAAAGAGCTTCCACAAGACCAGGTCTTGCTCTGGTTCTGGTGGGGTACTGTATGCACCAACCCCTCCTTCTTCCTTCAAAACCCCAGCCAGCACTGTAAAGCCTCCACGCCTCGGATAGGCCTCTCTTTTCGTTTCGGACCGTCGAGGTCTCCTATACGCGACTGCAGACCATCGGCCGGGGAGGAACCTCCAAGGTGCCGCAGGGTGTGATGTGGAGCGATGAGCCGATGAGCCGGTGGAACCAACACCCATGAGGATGGGGATTTTGATTCCCCTCCAAGCAGGATCGATGTTGGGGAGATTGAGTTGGAGAAAAGACCAGTTGTTTTTCGGATGAGTCGCCATGCAGGGTCGCAGGTGTCGCGTTCAAAACTCAGGCACTGAATGCAAAAAAACAGCGCGACAAAACGGTCAAAGTCGGACATCAATTTGGAGCAAAAAACATTCCCTCCCTGTTGTGTCCTGTGAAATCTTCACATTTTTTTTTGGAGACCAAAACCTCGTGGCCGTTGCTGGCCGTTGTGGCCGTTGTGGCTTGCCGGACGGACCGCGGTGCGTGCAGCTTTTTCCCGGGCGTCCGCTGCGCATCCTCCGTCGCCGCTGGGCGGACCAGGGCGTTTAGCGGGGCGGAGCGGACACCGGGGCAGCCCGGAGAGGTCGATGACGAGTTCGTTTGGGCTCGAGCGACAGATGTGGGCTCTCACCCTGGGACCCTGGTGGACTATGGCAGGGTCCCTGACCCTGGTTGATGACTGAACATGAAGAGAACCAAGAAAGTCAACCTGGCAGGGCTTGGAGCCCCAGGTCTTGGACCAGGCCATATCGGGCTTCCTTGGGATTTGCCCGACTGGCGATCTTAGGTCTCCTCGGCTGTGTGTTCAAGGCGTCGAAAATGGGGTCGGCCAGGTGTTCGGAAGAGGCTGACAGTCAAATGGCTCAAATGGAGTAGGTTCAATGCATATGGCACAACGCCTCTGACTCTAGACCCCCTTTAGATCTAAGCACCCAACTTGAGGTTTGTGCAATCCTCCCGGAACCTACATTTTCAAGGATGATATTTCACTTCTTTCTGGGCCCCTTGAACGCGCGTTCCTGTGCTTTTGTTCCACCCACCCGATCACCACGCGGGTCCGGCGGGTCCGGCGTGCCGGAGGTTCTTTTGGTCCCCACGTCCCCCCGTAAGTGCCTTTCTTTCACGTGGGTCAGACATTCCGATGATTTTGGTGGGCGAGACTGATCTCCAAAGTTGTGGTAGTTGCAACAGTTGGGTTCCATCGATGTGTCAGAAGTCACCGACGATCGCGCTCACGTGGACCCACCGTCCGCGCTGGTCCGCGCTCCAGAATGGCTCGCCGTGGATCCGTCATCTCCCTGGCCTTTGTGGCCGCGGCACGCCTCGCCGTGGGTGGAGTGACGGGAGGTTATTTCTTGCACTTTTAAGCAAACTGTCAGGGCCTGGGTTTCTGGCTTCCAAGGCTATCAGGGCCCGGTTTTTGGACTGCTTGAAGTGATGAAGACCATCGGCCGCTTCATCGATGCCGGATTTCGGCCCGGTTCGGCTGCTCCCCTTCGTCGTCCAGCGGAAGAAAAGCAGATAGACATCGTTTTGGTGAACGTAGAGGAATCTCTTCTGACGGCCAGGACACAAAGGACCAACAACCCAACAGTTGCTATGACAGAGGTATTTTTTTTGACACGTGTTTTCGAGCTCTCGCGCTTCCTTTTGGTTCACCTTGTCCCCCTTTTTGGGGCTCCTTTCGACTCCTCCAGACGAGGCGGTGATCTGTGCACTTCGATGGAGCTCGGTCCGGGGTCACACCGGTGTGGAGCGGTGGAACCGCGGTGGAACCGCGGTGGAACCGCGGTGGAACCGCGCGAACCTGGTTTGGAAGTCGTTTTGGAAGTCCGAGGGTGCTGTTTTGCAGCGAAGCAGCATGGCGGTTTTTCAGGGATCAACTGGTCCTTCTTGGAGGCTTTCATTCCCTTATGCCCTCCATTATCTCATATGATCTTCATTGGAGGTGGCCGAAAAGGAAGGTGGAGACAAGAACGAAGTGAGGTGGCCCCCGCGGGATGGACCGTTTTCATTCCTCTTCGTTGGCCTGAGGCCGCCTTCCTGCCGGCCAACACGGCCACTAAGCCCATGCTCAGGGTGGGGTGCTGGGCTGTTGGTGATTCACTCGGACTTCGGGACGTGGGTGCGATCCGCTAGATGCTTTGGTAGAGTAGAGGTGACGTATATGGATCTCAAAGAGGAAAGGTTGCCGAGTAAAGACACATCTGGGGACCAAAGGATCAGAGTCTTTGATCGTTTGAGAAGGAAGACCGAATCTCCTCATCCTTCTAGACTGCCGAAACAAGAAACCACAGATCAGCCTGCCGCCCGCTATGCTCATCTGTGGTGTTCAACACAGATTTCCAGAGGTCCTGGATGTGGAGATTCTCAGGAAGCCCATTCATTGAACAACCAGACCACGCGAGCGCCAGACCACAGTGGTTGTCTTTTTCGTCCGTCAGGCGGGCGCCTTGGCGAGCGCCGGCGCCATGGCCGCTGGCGGCGTCCGGGGGACCTGGACGTGGAATCTCTTGGAATTAAACGTTGGAAGATCTATGCTCCCTGAAGCTTTCATGGAGTCCAATCGCAACAGAACGTGCGAGGACATATCCTCCGCCAGTCAGGTCTCGCACTCAACAAAGGCATCTATTTAAGGCTTACAAAAACCATCAAAGACCAAAAACCTACACCCCCCCTGAAACAAATAATGGAAGTGGAAAACGATTGGTATTCGAAGAATGGTCATATCTGATGCTTCTGAAAACTGTGGACGTGAAGAACCTGCTAGACGGAGCCAGTCTGTTGGACTGTGGCTGTGATGTTAAATATAGAACAAGAATGCTTCAACGGAGAATCAGCAGACATGGACATGGAGGCAAGGCCAGCTGGTCATGAGAGCAGCGTTTACATAATGTTGGGCCACTCTGCTCACTGTCCGGGAGGGACACCTTGCAACGGCGAAAAAGGCCTTGCCTGCTATGGCGGAAGAGGCTGCCGAGGGTGGAGGCCTGCTGGACTTCGGCAAGGCCAGCCCAGCTGCGCTGCGCGCTGCGCCGCGGGGGGCGTTCAAGCACTGCAGCGAGTGTGATGGAAAAAGGTTACAATTTGCATGAACACTCTGAACAAGCAGTGTTTCGTCTCGGTGTGATTCCTGCAAACATTATGGTTTCTTCCACTACAATGGGTATTTTTGCTGGTCCTTTACGGTGCGTTCTTGGAAGAGTTTAACAAAAAGCACAGCCCGCCTTCGTTCGGGTGGCGGGCGATTCAGATCGAGCTGGGTGGCGGATTTGCCCTCAACCTGAACATTCCGGAGTCGGCTTCTCAGCGGAAGCGAACCGGCGATGGCCGCCTTGGGTCGAAATTGCTCTGTGTAGCTATCTGGAACAGAGCGCTGGTGTCCCAAGAGATGGATGTGAACACCGAATTCTGTGGCGGTCCATGCATCACTGTGGCAGAGGTCATTTCATAGAACCTGAATTCTGAGGCAGGCGCTTGCAGGTTTGTTGGTTTTCAGTTCTTTTCTCTTTTAAGCATAGCCATGTCACGTCCTTTTGGAGTGAAAGACCTCCTATCCTCCATCCTCATCTCGGACCAAGTATCAACCTCGTCAACATCTCGATCCTCATTGCTGGGCCTGGAACTCAGAGACGAACCTCTCGGTCCTCTCGGGGCACCACGACGCGGAGCTGGATCCCGCCACGCAGGACGCTTCTTTTTGGCCGAAACCGGAGCCGAAACACAGCACCGGAGGCTGTTCTACTTCCTGTCTCCGGTGCTTGGCGAGTCCATGGCTTCCCGAGAGAAGGACGAAAAATCACGGTTCGGGGGGGGGGGGTAACTTTTCGTGTTCAGTGCTGTGCGCCCAGAGGACATCCGTCGCGACTTCATTGCTTGGGTCTCTTCTTCCCAACCAGCGGAAAGTACATGGAACACCAGTGGTATGGACCCTTGACCTCAATCATACGACTCCTTGCATTTCCACCATACCACCCCTAAGCCACTTGACCACACCTTCCACAGGTGGCCAGATGATGTGGTTGATGGGTCACCTGATCGGGGCGAGGAGATCATGTCGAGTCCAAGTAAGTGGTAGCTCCGTATTCTCAAGAAGGAATGTTCAGGGTGCCAGAATAATACACCAAACTATATGCTCAGTTACTCTTTTTTTGTTTTCAGGTGCCAGACTTGGTTTCAGGGACACGCCACTCGGGACACCCTTGGAGGTTCGCCTCGGCCCTTTTGAAGGGACAAGAGAGCCCGGAGTAGTTCTGCATCAAAGCTTCGGATGAGGGGCGACGTAGTCCCCCAGTGCTGATGTGCTTGAAGTGCCTTGAGGGCACTTCTTCCATGTGGAGATGATGTCGCCCCATGTCGCGGCGACCAGTCCACGACTGGTGCGACGAACGCCTCGCAGCCTTGTGGCACCGGACACGCAGTCTTTGCCAAAACGAACCTGAGAATGGGTGAGATGATGCGCCAGGGCCAGGGTTCGAAATCGAAAGTCGGCAGGAAATCCAGTCTGACATTGAGGATGCCATTGCCAAGTACAATGAGGCAAAACCGTAAAGCATCATACACAGATAGACTGCGGTAAGGAAGAAACAGGCATTGCACATCATGAGCCTTCTCAAGTAGATGAAATCTGGAACATTGCAACTTTTCACAGGACCCATTTGTGCCCGGTTTTTCTGAGCCAATTTCGCCTGTTGCTGTTGCGATCTTTTTCCGCGATGGAGGCCACCACGCGCTTGGCAGAGGCCGAGAAGAACAAGGCTCAGGCTGATCAGGCCGGGTGGGATGGGATGACATCTTGCTTTCCTCTCCTTCTTCTGGGAGGAGAAACTGGGGTGGAGGCTGTTGTGGGGGTTCTCTTCTCCTTGTGTCCGCTGAAGGCATGGGGGTGATTGGGTAGGAAAGAGTGACACTTCGGAGATCGTTTGATCTACAGTCTCCCCTCCAGTGCGGCAAAGAAACGCTGAGATGTTCCGTTTTTGCCGGAACACCTGGTTGTTGCCTTCCCAATGCACCTGGTAGTCTCCCGTTCGTCTGCTGGCTCGGAGCAACTCCTTTGGTTGGCCAAACACCGAGGTGGTGAAGGAGATCAACGGTAGCATCTCCAAGGACGGGGAAGGATGAATCGACCTCGGTCTAGGCGGGCAAACGACGGGCACTTGCAAGGGCAGACGGCATTCTGGAACGACTGGAGCAGAAGCATGTGTTCTTGGCATGTTTTGGGTGCTGTCACCGGCCATGACGATCATAGTATCCACTCTCAACCGAAACGACCAGAATCTTGCCAGCATCTCTAAGATGGGAGGGCTAATATATGGTGCTTCCTTCTGAAGGACCAGAGAACCTCCGCCAAGACCGGACCGTCCAGATCTGATCGCGCCGCGCGTCAGGACATCGCTGAGTTCCAGAAGAACCTCCGAGACCAAGCGTCCAAGACCGCCGCTGGTAAGGCTGGGGGGCTGCAAGCTGTGAGAGTCTAGAGAAGCTCCCTCCTTCCAAGCTCCAGTGGTTTTCAGATGGTTTCAGAGTAGATGGCACTGGCACCCCTGGCGATGTCCTTTACACCGGGGTCCATATAAACCCCCGAACTTGGGGATTGTACCATCTACTCTCAATCCACGGCATTGGGCTCATCCTCAGCCATCACCTGTTATCTCCGCAGGACAAGGCGCAAGAGAAGACTCTGGCAGACATGAAGGCAGGTGGTTGTTCCACAGCAACAGCTGCGGAAAAGCATCGGTGGTGGAGGAAGACAAGCCACACCCGAGCCGAATCCATTGAACGACCAACAAGCCGTTCTCTGGTAGCAACCCGAGGAAAGGAGGCTGCCAATGAGGTGTACTGTATGTCATCCGGTGAGGTCAGATAGATTCGGATAGGTTTCGTTTTTAAGTGAGTCCATTTCGTTCATATTAGTCTTTGGAATTTATCGTCAATCCAAACCAAAGACATTTACTCGTCTACACGATCCCACTTCAAGAAGTTGCTGGAAAACATGAATCCGGTGGAAGAATTCTCAACTGCCCAACCTTCAATTGCAGTTTAGGCAGGTTTGGGCCAGGTTTGCGGAGATCTGGAACCATTCAAGAATTCAACATTGATCCTTCAATTGAACAATTCAACACTTCAACTTCACACGTTCCTTTTTGTTTTTCATGAAGACTTCATTGTCAACACTCTACAGTCTTCCAGGGGCTGGGCCGGCTGGGCGGGCTGTCCGTCTTCCGGCGGACGACCCGACTCCTTCTTTGGTGGTAGCGGTTCAGATGTTCAAAAGCCCTGAGATAGTCATGAAGTCAATCATCATCATGTTCAAAGCATGAAGGAACCATCATCAGAGTCCTCCTCCTCCTTTCTCCTCCTCATGCAATGTCGTGCAAATGGGATAGACCCTGGGAGACCCCAGACCGGTTGCTCAACGCTTCGCAGCTTCGCAGCGCGAAGGGACCAGGACTTCCCATCACAGGTCGACGATGTTTGGGGCAGTGAGGTCCATGTCCTCCTGGATGGGTTTGGGTCAGACACACGATCTTTTGTTTCGAGCGAATCCACGACGCAGAACGGTGGTGCCAAGACGTCTCCAAAAGATTCCCAGCTCCTCCATGTTTTTTCTACAAGTCGAGTTATATGCTACGCCCATTTTGCCTTTTCAACACAGATCCCTTCTTTCTTCGGTCTATCGCGACGCCCCCGTCCTTTCTCCCAACCACCGCGGAACCTCCCGTTGTCTCCGGTCTTGTCGCGACGTCCGCTGTGGAAACGACCGCGAACCCGACGGTCGACCGAGAACCCACGACCGGCCCACGCTGGTAGGCTCGTGTGGCGGCCAACTTGGAGACTTATATCGAGACTCAAGCGGTGACCAGGGGTCTCGTGGACCGGGCGACCGACCGGGCGACGGGCGGGCGACGGGCGGTCATGGGTTTTGGATCCCGGGCCCCGTCTGGCCGTGTGCTTTGGGACGCGGGTGAAAAGGGCTTCCTTCTTGGTTGTTTTTGGAGCATCGCTTAGATGGGAAGGTGCGAAAGGGGTGGGTGAGAGGTGTTCCAAAAAAAGCATATGTCTTTTTCTTTTCATCTTGCCATTGAACGACTCTCCTTTCCGCGTTTGCTCGGCCGATCCTTCTGGGCACCGCAGGACCTCAAGAAGCTCACCACCGCCCAGAAGACGAAGTTCATGGTGTCTCGGCCCAGAAGACCGAGACTTCCCTGGGTTAAGTGGAGTTTCTGGGAAGCCCTCCAACTGCAGGGGGAGGAGATTGGATGGGATTGGTGCGAGTGATTCTTCTTGATTCTTCTTGGGTAGGTGTGGTGCCAAGGTCATTTGGCCCATGTTCGTCTATTTGATTCGTTTTCGGGTTGCCGATTAGGATCGCACCAACGAACTGGCCAGTAACTGTCCGGTGGTCCTGTCCGGTCGGACGGTCCTCGGACGGTCCTTATTGGGACTTCCGTCTGTGCAGACCGTGTATGGCTTCGACCCATGGAAGACCCTTGAAAGAGCCGTGGTTACAAGATGACCAGCGCGCAATTGTATGGTAAAACAGTCCCCCAACCAAAAGCCCAATGAGCAATTGCTTGGCAGTGTTGCTTTCCATAAATCCTCTTGAAGACTTGCCTAAGTCTAAGTGGTCTCCCAAAATGATCTCAAAACGTATGTCACCCCAGCCCAAAGTATTCCACCAAACGGCTTTCGGCCCGGTCAGGCGGCCGGTTTCGACTGGACTCACCTAGATCCGGTGCCCCGCATGGACACCCCACCGAGGATACGGCCATCGCATCGTTGTAAGATTTCTCCCCGGTGTGCAGGGCTTAGAGCGGATGGGACAACTAGAATGGGAAATGAGATGAGATGGGATGAGAGGGAGCAAGCAGGAGCAAGCATGAGCAAGCATGAGTAGGTGCTGGAAGTGGCTTTTTGGACGATTGAACAGGGTGTTTCCGTTGCTCTTTGGATCTTTGGATCTTTGATTTAACGCCTGGATGTTTTGCTGATCTTCTCCCAGGACTGGCCCGCCAAAGGGGCCAGTCCTGGTTCAATCAATGACCACCACCCGTTTCCCGAAAGACTTCACTTTGTCACTTTGTATAGGTCTTTGCAGATCAAACAACGCACCAACCACGCGTGTGGTCCTGATCCCACGGCGAGCCTCCGGACTGCTGCATGTGCCGCGTGTCTGCCGCATCTGCCGCGTTTGCAGGAGCGGATTCCGATGAAAAGTGACGCCTGCGGGGCGCTGCCTGAGGGAAGGGATCCCCCCGATGCCCTTGGAGCCCAAAAGATGTGCACGGACGGAGTGGCCTGGTGGGAGAGGTGGCTGAGTGTGCTTTTTCTTCATGCGTGAGGGGTGGGAGAAATGCAGGAGGCAGGCAGAAGGTTGGGATTTCGAGCTGGAGTGTGACTCACACTGTGCACACAGCCAATGAAGATCTCTTTATATTTAGGGTTCGGCCACTGTGACGAGCTCAAGTTGAGCTTTTGACTTCGCGACAGGTGTATCAAGTGAGATCTCCATGTGGGAAGTGGCCTGCTCAGCCTTGTGCACGAATGCGTGACACTGTTGAAGGATGAAATTTTGTAAAGCATCTGACATTTGATTCAGCCCACTGCGAAAAACAACAAAAAAACATATCGCCTCGAAAATATGACTCTTCAGTCGCTGAAGACCTCCACAAGATTCAAACTTGATGAACTGACAAACAACACCGTTTGATCCAACAAAGCGCTCTTTGGCTCCACAGATGAACCTCATGTTATTCGCTTCAGGTTGCTGGCACTGAAGCGCGTCACTGCCAGCTGCCCCAAGCACTTCGAGGTGCCGCGGATCTCCTAAACCACCGCGGAACGCCGCGGTGTTGGGGCCGCCGAAAAGGAGCATGCCAAGCACCCAAGCACCTAGAGTTCAAGCAGTTTGGAACGCTGGCCCTAAGTACTTCAGGGATCTTCATGTTGACTGTTGATGAAAAAAGCCTAAAATGGTTTCATGTCCCCATTTCGGGTGTTTTATTCACCGCCAGTGAGCACCAACAGTACCACGCAAGTTTTGGTCAACGGTACACAACCCCGGTTTTTCATTGCCCATGGATCCATGGGGGCCGACCCGAGAGGTGTTTCTTTCGCGCCACACGAGGCGTTGGCCAATGAAGTGACTCTCCTGCTGCAGCTGAAGGACCTTCTTGGTGCAGACGAGGGATGGAGCAGATCGAAGTGATGTGCGGGACATGTATCAGTACAAGAGAATGGGCTATTGCGGTGTTTGGAGTAGACGAAGATGGATGATCTGCCAATGGGGCCGGAAGATGAAGTTGTTTCCTTTGACACGCTGGTGACGAGTGTTTGGCAGGGCTTTGGATTGAGGACATCAAGTCCAAGTAGGACTTTCATGGTCTCTACCTAGCTGTCCAGGTTGTGGACTAATCACACGTCGTTGACAGCTGTTGACCCATCTGGAGACATTCTAAAGGGCTCATGGAACAAGCTTGATTTTGGAGCTTGTCAACCACAGGGCACAGATTTCCCCAGCTCACGACTCACGAACGGGAACGCGGTGACGATAGGATTTGTTTCATTCAGCACTTGAGGATGATGATACATCTTGCTGACACCTCTCACGCGATGTCTGAGACGCTACCTCAATCTTCAAGTTCCAAGACAAAGCCATGGATCTTTCAGATGTTGTCGTGTCTACGATCCTCCTTCGATCCTCAAAATTGCGGTTCCCAACCGGACGCGTTCTCGGTCCGTCGCTTCGCAACACGCAGGAGTGTCCCAACATCATTCAGGTCCTGGACGCTGAGGCTGGTCGGGGGGGTGGGGGGTCTTCGGTTGAAGTAGAAGGAGAAAATGGCCGATTTGTTGAGAAAGCACCGGTAAAACGGTATTGGTATTGTAGGTCAACGGACAAACGTTTCGTTTTTGGGGCAGTAGAAAGCATCATGGTGAACCACCATAAAATTTTAAGTTGTCCCACAACATGTCTGTACAACGACCCGTCCGAGCCGCTCGGCCAGGTCTTACCCGATCGGCTGCTGATCCACATCGTCCCATGGCGAAGCGGTCGAAGCCGTGGGGACGGCTGGTTACCCGTGGGTCGAAAAGGGACGGCAGACGACGGTCCGGATCATGTTTTGCCCGGGGAATGTGTGTTTGGGCGGTGGTATTTGGGGTGGGTATTTGTTGGGTTTCCGGGTGTTTTCCATCCTTGGAGATCTTTTTGGGATTTTTGGGGTGTTTCAGCCATCTACCCTGCTTTGAAGGGGCTTTAGATGCACACCAACAGGATGGAAAAAGAAGGGGGGTCGTCGATGGCTGGTCTTCACAAGTCGACGTTCGGTGCTCCGTGCTCCGTGCTGCGTGCGCAAATCGACCCCAAAACGGTGTCCGAAAGGAATTGGTTCGGTGGGTTCGACCTAGAAACTGAAAGGAACTGGATGAACACGGACCTTTCCCCTATGGAGAAGACCGAAGAAGCTGCAGGATGCGAAACTGCTCATGGAGTCGCCGATTGATCTACTCGGCCAATATAGTCAGAGTAGTCACGAAGCAAAGATCCACCGGATCAGGTTGGAGATGCTTTTCACATTTTCCAAGTGACCTGAGTTTCTCTCCGACTCCTCCACTGAACCAGGAGGAAGTGTGACTTTAATTAGGCTTCGCAGTGAACCAAGGTGATGGAGGAGGGGCAGATGGATCTTGGCAGGCCATACCCGTCGAAGAAAGACATGAAAGACATGCAGGAGGGGCTTGACCTTGGCGATGTCGAATCTCAGAAGCGACATCGGAAGACCTGGCCCAATCAGTCGACTGGTCTATTCTCCGAACCTTCCAGGGGGTCGAACTGAGAGGTCTCCCTATTTAAACTACACCCATGTTTGTTTCTCAAAGACCTTCCTCCAGTTCAACGCTCCTTTGCCCCACCCGTGTTCCACCCCAAACAGCAGGAAATTGTGCCCGAAGCCCGGGGTGTGACGAGTGTTCGTGCGATGTCGCCTCTGGTGCCGTGCGTCCCTTCAGCGACCAGGCCAAGACAAAATGATGGGTCGGTTAACCCCTTCTTTCCCTGGGCGTTCCCTTTAGCTTCTTCTGTCAGGGCTTCTCATTTGCATCCCGGAATTTCCAGCCAACTACCTATTTTACGTTAAACATCACGTAACATCACTGTGCCTGTTTGGTTTTTGGCTTGTTTGCAACACAAGCAGGTGAGAGTCGTTTCTCTCAGCTGGAGGCTCCTTCAAAGCCACGCAGACATGTCCATCGGAGACGTTCAGGCGCTTCTTCAGGGTCCTTTGACTTTGAGGAAGCATTGGTTTCAACAACTTGAAAAGACATCCCCAAGGAGTTGTGAGGTATTTTGGTGTTTTTGATCGACATTTTCGGCCAATTCCGAGACTGACTTTGAGGTTCTGTTACAGTAGTTGAAGTTGTTGTTTGTTTCTTTTCTTTTAGCAGTTCAAATTAAGAAGAGGTAGAGCTCTCACAGAATACTTCTCCTGTACAGCACATTGCTGAAAACCGCCTGAGCTCTTGCAGACACATGTTTTTTCACTTCAGAATGGACTACGCGGACTACACATCACACATCCGATGGTCCATCACACATCGTGTGCATGGCTGATGCAAGGGCTCCATTCCCACGAACCGAAGCCCGAAACCCACTGTCTCGCCGTGTTGGTGGAGACACCTCTGAGCTTCGAGCCTCGTCACGACGGCCTCTTGAGAGGGTCACATGGCCTTGAAAACATGCATGACTCCAGCAATGGGTTGTTTGTCCTAGCGATCCGACGTTTTGCTCTATAATGTGGGGTCTACGATGATATCAACGAAGTTGTTTTGCACAAGCACCACAAGTGAGTATCCTTTGCACTGGTCCTTTCTCTACCCAACATCACTGTAGGGACCATTCTGTGAGGCGCTTTGGAGGCAAATGCTGGAAGCCGTCCAGGCCCATGGCAGCCCAGATCTTCGTGCTTCGAACCATGTGGACGGACTCGTTCGGGTTTGGGGATGACCTGACAGCACGGACACTTGAGACACTAAAGAAGGATATGGGAACATGTTTTCTTCCACCTTGTATCTTTGACCGCTTGGCCCCTGTTTTGGAGCCGATCTGTAACCAGGTGCGGGTTTTCATCAATGACAGCGGAAACATGGCTGACAACAAGGAGTTCTGCATCTCGATGTGTGGTGAAATATATAACCGGTAACACGAAGAATTCATCCAAACCCATTGATTACAGGGTGTCCCTATTCTAAGACCCACGCAGCCCAATTATGAATTTGAGAGACAGCACAGCGGAATCTCATTTGGAACCAACGTGCTGAACCAGTCCCTCATCCATATGTGACCATGTCCTGCTGCAGGGAGACAAAGTCAGGAGAGTACTCTGGTTGGGTTGGACACCTGTGGCAGAAGAACCCTACAATTGCAGATCTGCAATCCTATGCAGATCCTAGTTTTATGGGTGCGGTCTGTCTCGGCCCGGACAAACCCATGGAAGAAGCACGACAAACCCATCGTCACAGGTGGTGCATCAGGAGCGTGTGGTTCATTCAGACCTCAAGGCGCTGGGCGCATCACGCGGAGACGTGACAGGAGTGACAAGACACTGACCACGTGACATGGCTCCGGACATTTGACCACTTCTTCGTTTTTTTTTCGGGGGCGCCGGCCGTTTCACTGTTGTTTCTTTTTTTTCCCTGCTGGATCAGTTTGCGTTTTTCCTGTCACGCCGCCTTGTGGCAGTCAAGAATCAACTTCTTGGATGCCTGGGACTGGCATCAAGGACCGGAAGGACCCTTCTGGCCACATATGCAGGAGGTCAAAAGCCCGCAACAGAGCGCTTTTTCGGCTGTTGGAAGGAGCGCATGCCGGGTCCGAAGAAAACCACCAGTCCTTCGGAAGCCGCTCGTGGGGTCGGATTGAGCCGACGAGCCACCGAAACCCAGCCGCCGATTGCAGCCGGGGAACTTTATGCTGGTGAAGCAGCGCCTGAAGCTGATCGACTTTGGCATTGCCAAGAGGAGGGGAAGCCGAGTCTGGTCGGAGTGGTGTGCCTTCGGAGTCTAGGGATGTAAAGCCATAAAGCATGTTAGTTGAAGTGTTTTCAGTGAGGGGAGCGTCGGCCACAGCTTCTGGTCCTGCGGTCGAACTGGGTTCTTTTGCTAGGGCGCGACTCTGTGCGCTGCTAGGGCACGAGTGCACGTTGACGTCTGATCTTCCCTGTGGGCTACCTCTCATCTCCGGACCGCCAGCTGCGCCGGACGTGGCCCTGGGGTCGGGTCGCAGGATCGCCAGCAATACGACCAACATCAGCCGTGAGTCCTCCGTGGGGACCATCAGCTACATGGCTCCCGAGGCCACCAGGGCAGCCACGCGGCGAGGCAACGCGAGGTTCGCGTGTCACAAGCTTTCGGGTGGTGAACTGCCTATATAAGTGGTGGTGAACTGCAACGTGTCCCTATATGAGGACCTCAGGGTTTCGTTCATGTTTCGTTCGGTCGTCTGGTTTCGTTCGTATGCCATGTTTTTGGAACGGAAGCCACTGAGACTGGTCCCCAGCATCGTGGGTTGTGAACGGATCCACTGGGCTTTCTGTGTGCACGACGGAATGGTTGGGAATCACCTGATCGCGACTCTGTGAGGGGAGGAGGTCCCAACGGCTCATGGACGAACGTAGAGGGTTGATGGATGATCCATCTGACCTGTGGTCACCGTGGTCCCAGCGGTGCTAGGCTGTGAAGCAGGGCGCGGTGAAGATTGGGCGGCCCTCGGATGTCTGGTCTTTGGGCATCATCCTGTGTCCCGGGCCGGGCCGGGGACAGGGCGATGTTCTCGTGACGTGACTTGGAAAAGAAGCGGGACGACATGCTAGCATTCCTATTTTGTGTGGAATCCACTATTCTTAAGTCTATCATCATGCCACCATGTGAGTCTCATGCCACATGGCCTGGGCCGAAAGGCCTCGGAATCGGTCGATTCAGGGTACCCGCAGGTCCCATCGGAGCTTGGGGCACAGTCTGGAGTCTGGAGCTTCGGTCCCCCTGGGGTCTTTGGAGCTTCGGAACCCTTCGGAACCGGGGCACCTGCGTTCTCTCCCGGTGTCCAAACGGAGACAGTTCGAGACACTCGGACTCGTCCTCGCAGTCCGTGTTGGCTGCTCAGAGAGGTACCAGATGATCTACATGCGAGCGCCGTTTGCTCATTTGGATCCCATGCAACGGCTTTTTGCCTTGACCGCCTGGGTAGCTCAGACGGCTTGTTGGAGGAACCTGGGTCACCCAGACTTTTCAGAGGCAGAAATACTTGATTGGATGTGAGACGACCGAGGTTTGTTGGCTGCTCCGTTTGGGATTGATACGTCATCTTTTTTTTTTGTCTTTCATGTTTTGGTGGAGTGTTTTGACTCTCTCCCTTCCTTCTTCCTGTGACCCTATTCTTGAGGCTTCGGCTTCCAGGTCGAGTTGACACAACGACCGTTGGAGCCGACCGAAAGGTTCGGTGACCTGCGTCGCTGAGGACCCCAACGTGTCCGTGGAGTTTCCGGCGTCGCATCGTTTCGAGCAGCACTCCAAGGCCATGAAGGTGCGGACAGTGATATGATTGGCCACTGAACATCACTGAACTACGAATGGTGTGGTGTTGTTCTCAAGCTCTAGGAGTTGATGTGGTACCTGCTTGAGTCGTTATATATATATGATTCTGATATGATTATGACAAGCCGTGATTGATTTCTTTGTGATGATGACCGAGCAGCACTCCAAGCCATAATTTCTTCTTCTATTTTCATGTGAGGAAAAAATAGGAACATAAGTGAACAAATATATTCAATCGACTCTGGCGATGCATTCATCAGGAGCCAACAACACAACGTTACTAGACTAGATAATTTATGAATGTTGATGGATGTGTATCGCACTTTTTTTGTACAACTACAGTATCGATCTAGGCGGTTCTGTAGTTGATGGTGGATGGAGTCACCACTTGCCAGAGAAGATTTTTGAGAGATCTGGGTGGAACATTTTGCTCACATGAACCGAACCTGTTGTTTCCCGATCAGAGGTGCTGTATTGACATCGGACTGGGTGCGATCGTCTCTTCCTTCGGGCTCGAGGGTTGGAAGTCTGTGCAACGGTGCGACAGGACACCCTGCTGGATGTTCTGCAGAGGTGGGGTGTGTGGATGAGGGATGACAGGGGGTTTGGTTGTTGATTTCATGGGTGTGGAGAAGACGTTTGGCTTCTTCATGGGCATGGGCCCCATGGGCTTCAGCCTTGGTGAAAAGCGATCTTTCCAATACCTTGCTTTAAACTCACTATATATAGATGGTGCACGGCCCAAGATCGAACCAGACTTCTTGTGATCAGACTTGTTTGGGGATCGGACTTGCATTTCTTTTTCTCAGATAGGTCCTCAGTTCCACCAAAAGAGACTGATCCCCAAGCGGCGGTCGATGGTGGCGTTGGACACCGGAGGGTGGTCCCTCCTAGAGTTCGCCGAAGACATCATCTGAATGCGAGATCCCGACCTTTAAATTAGGGATTGACAAACGATGGTTTGGACGATGAATCTATTTGGGTCCCAAGTATATAGAGATGATGTCTTTTTTTGGCGGAATTTTGGGCAGGATTCCGCACATGGATGACCAGACCTAGGTGAAAAAAGATACTTTCCAGATACTTGGCATCACAAGCTCTCACTGTTACTGTCCACACCTCCAACCATAGATGGCCTGTGACTATTGGCTGGTTTTCCAGGGAAGATCAGACCGTGAAGCACCCGAAGGCCGAGAACCGGTGCTCTTCGACCCCTTCGCTCTCTCACCCAGGTGCCTCCAACGCGATCCCGCGCGGCGTCCCACGATCCCCGAACTGCTGCAGCCACGTCGGCGAGTTGAGACGGGGCACGGGGGACGCTGCGAGCGAGCTTTGAGCGGTTGGCCATGTGGGACGGTTGATTCAAAAGAAACATAATGTTTGGATGGTAAAGCACCGTATACGGGATTCTATTCATCAAATGTCAAAGGTCTACATTACTCGTTGGATGTTGTTTCTTTTGCTGAAACCTCGTAATGTGATTTGGAGTGGGAATGACATTTGTTCTTTTCAGCAAACTGAAGAAAGCTTGTTGATGAGTTTTTCCAAGCAAAATCTCTGTGTTGGCTTGGACACCTTTTGGACAATTTCTGGGCGCCTAGGTGGTGAAAAAAGAGGGGTCATTTCCCTTCAATTGGCATGCCAAATTCCCCTCTTCGCTCAAACAAAAGGGGGGTTCCTACTTTCAATGAGCAGGGTCCGACGGACAGACCGACTGTGGGTTTGGTCATGTGATCCTATGACAGGCATCCTTTCGTGCTGCGAGAAGATGTGAGGCACTGGCCTTAGTTCTACTTGGGCTCCCCTCAAGTGTGAGGGGGAGACTGGAGGACTCTGTAGTCCTTGCCGCTCCTGACACGAGTTAAGACCTATTTTTACGACCTGACCTGACAAGATCCCACACTGCCTGGTCCGGGCGTTGAAAGACATCGACTGCCAGACTCGTTTTCTCTGTGGTTTTTGGCCTCAGGTTATCGCGAGCCTCCTTCGACCGCACCTTTGAGGCCTGATGGTGTGAGCAGAGCGGAGTTTCTACACGGCGCAAGGGCCGTGACACAGGGGCAGATGGATCTGTAACTGTAACTCTGCAAACTTCGATGCTCACTGATTCCAGGTTATTTTTTGGGACTCCAGAGTAGATCTCAGAACTGGGCCAGGGGGGTTGTTGAGCGATGCCGCCATTTTTGTGGCTTGGTGCATTGATTGGTTGCTTTGTCATGTACTGAACATGGACAACTGCAAACTCTATTTTAGCTAAGTTGGCGTGAATTCCATGCCTGTGCAAATGCTAGGATGGTCGTTAAAGTTGGTGGGTGTTCGATGACAAAGTTTTGTTTTTAGGACCGGACTTTAGAGGACAGGTTTCCTCCAAGCAACTCCTACTGAACATGCTTCAGAAAGGGTTTTCCCTGCCTGCTTCCCCGAGTTCCCCCCCAGCCTTTTTGAGCTCGTGTTCCGGTGTTGATGGAGAACATGCTGTGCTGCTCCACCGGACAAATGCACTTGTATACTCGACTGCACATGTCATAAATGGACCAGGATATTACATATGGACAGTTTGCAGGTTCTACAGGTGGTGCACATGTTCCGTCCACCACCTGCAGCCCACTTCCTTCAGGTGCCATTTTGGTGTTTTCTTGCACGTCGGTTGGGTCCTTCCCTTGTGCCCGCTCTTCACGTGTAAATCTGCAGACTTTAGTTTGAACTGCGAGGCCTTGCTTCAGCAAGTGGTTGCCGCAGCTGAAGAAGGACTTGGCTCCGAGCCAGGTGCGGCCACGCAAGTTTGGGCCAGTTCCAAAGTGAAGACGATGAGGGGCCTTGTTATTTGCATGTTGGGGTGTTTTGGGGTGGTTTTGGTCGCTCCTTAGTTCCCAAACACCTGTGTTTGAACTGTTTTTAAACCTATAACAAACGCCGAATCGCAATTATCATAACAAAATTACAACAACAAGTACCAGACTACAATAAGTATTACCCCCTTCAATTCTAAATGCCAAAACGCAATAAATACTGCCAAATCTCAATAGTAGTAGTAGTAGTAGTAGTAGTAGTAG